TATCTATATATATGTATATGTATATGTATATATATATATTTATGTATATGTATATCTATATGTATGTATAAATATACATATATCTATATATATGTATATGTATATGTATATATATATATTTATGTATATGTATATCTATATGTATGTATAAATATACATATATCTATATATATGTATATGTATATGTATATATATATATTTATGTATATGTATATCTATATGTATGTATAAATATACATATATCTATATATATGTATATGTATATGTATATATATATATTTATGTATATGTATATCTATATGTATGTATAAATATACATATATCTATATATATGTATATGTATATGTATATATAGGCTGATTAGTTGAGCCCAATCTTCTGATTCGATATTTCCTCCATGCTAGTATATATATATAGTGTGTGGAACATTATACGATGGCAACCCAGCAATGCTACGAGTATACCTGGCAGCTCCGGCGCCACGGTGACAGTGACAGGTTTGATGACCCTGTTGACACTCGATGACGTCATCCGCTCGCAGGCGCTGTTAGAGGGCGCGCACTCTCTCTGCTCGCTGATGATGTCACCGTCGCACTGGCTGTCACGGGAAAACACAAGGCTCACCTAACCGCCACACCTGACCTCTCACACGGCCCCCTCAATCGCTCTCACCACACCTCACCTGACCGCCACACCTCACCTGGGACGCACGCACTCCTTGAATCGCCGCTGCACGCAGGTGCGCGTGCAGGGCGACCACTCGGACCAGTCGGAGTAGTGATGGTCGGACGTGTCGGCGGCTCTCACGCGCTGCGGCCCCGCGCCGCCCCGCGAGTCGTTGGAGTGGGACGCGCAGTGACCCGTGAAGCAACTCCTCACCTGCACAGAGAGGTCAGTGACGTCAGTGGAGGCGTCACGGCATGGGTATAGTGACGTCACAACGTGAGGCTTGACGCCGTCTGATGTGTCACGTTTGCAGTGACGCAAACTGATGCGTCACAGGATTTGCAGTGACGTCAACTGACGCGTCACAGGGTTGACAATGACGTCAGCTCACGCGTTGCAACATGGCCAGCCGCATTAAACCACGTAACACAATGTGTATATACGTATGTAAATACACAACATATAGTACCTCTGACATCATGACTGCAAAAACGCAGTCACGTGGACGGACATAATAACGTGGACGAAATTATACGATAACGACGCATTGTGATCCAGACGACCAATTCGACAAATCACACATCGTACCTCTTTCAACCGATTTCTGCCGCAGTCGGTCCTGCTGCTGCAGTGACGGATGCGATGCTGGCGACACCTATGCGTGCACGTCGACCAGTCGCTCCAGGGATGGTAGATGTCGTTGTAATTGACGTAAGAATGGTCGTTGCCAACAGACACCATCGATTCCATCTCGCTGTCGGCCACGGGCGAGCTCTCTGTCGAGTTGTCATCGTCCTGCTCAGACAACAAGCGTGCGGCACGTATAGCGCATCAAGAAACTCGTGTAGGAAACTCACATATAACAATACATAGTTCATGTGTTGTAAAATAACACATGGAAACATATGATAATAATGATGATAGCTCATATAGTAAGCTCATATAGTACTCCTATGGCAAGCTCATTACATAGGCCTATGGTAAACGCATATAGTTTATGTTTTCCTGATAACTTATGGTGTAATATATATATATATATATATATATATATATATATATATATGCGAGACTAACATCAATAACACGCTTCCTTCGATGATTCGGAGCTACTTAAAACTGAATATTTACCGAACGGCTCACTATAATACATGTCAGACAAGCATAGATACGCATGAACTGAATATAACAAGTTCTGCTAGGTTGTTTATCATGGGGAGATAGCGTGACTGCATGACTACGTATAATTACACTTAATAACACACAACTGACTATATTGCGTCACGACATCATGATCTAGATTTAGGAGGTGCAGTAGAGGAGCGCCTAGAAAGAGTCGAGCGATGACTCACACACACGTGCACGCTCGCACGCACGCACGCACGCACGCACGCACGCACGCACGCATACACACACACACACATAAACTTATTTATTCAATTTATTATATATATAACATATATTATACATTTATCTATTTATTCGCTTATTCACTTAAACACAGAGATATACCTACCGCCAAGAGTACACAGTGGTCACAAGCTGCATATAGTTGTAGTAGTTGTAGTGTGTATTAGTAATTAAGTGCATGTGCGACAATAATAAATCAGCGAGTGACTCATCCCAGCATCTCGTAAACAACTCACCGGGAATAGATACGTCCACGGCCACTGCGCAGCCATCGCGTCACACCGGCACGACAGCGGGATGAGGACGAGGATGAAGATGCTGAGCATCACGCACGATGACGTCACGATTCCGCCACCCATCGTCACGGAAACCTATACGCGCACAGTTAGAATGTTGTTTAGAAACAGCTGCGGTGTCGTTCACGCACAGCGGGGATGTTCTTCCGCAAAGCTGTAACGTTGTTCACACAAAGATATGATCTTGTTCACGCACAACTGCAATGTTGTTCACACACAGCTAAAATGTTGTTCACACACAGCTAAAATGTTATTCACACACAGCTGTGATGTTGTTCCGCACAGCTGCTTGTTGTTCATGAACAGATATAGGATGCTGTTCCGAACAGCTGTGTTGTTCACGCACAACTGCGATGTTGTTCCATGCACACAGCTGCTTGTTGTTCATGAACAGCTAGAATGTTGTTCTCGCACAACTGCGATGTTGTTCTCTCGAGATGTTGTAATAACAAGATAGTCTCGACGATGCGTGTTAGGTTGCTAGGATACCTATGACGCAGTCGTTGCTTCCATGACGTACTCTGTTTCTTACACTTCGAATCTGGCGTGAAAATGTGGGTAAAACAGAACCAGCGTGAGATCGCGAGTGGATTAATAACTCTGATGGGAGTAATAACTAAGTAGTTTATTGCATATTAGATCTAGTCCTAGTATGCGTATAGTATATGCCGAGTATGTCTAGTATGCCTAGTATAACTCTCAACAGACCGTGGGTCGTGATCGCGCGTTGGTGGGCTCAGCGCTACGCATGAGGAGTCTAGGTTAGCACACGCGCACGCACGCACGCACGAGCACATGCATACATAAACACACGCACGCACGCACGCATGCACGCACAAGAGCGCGCGCGCACACGCATACATGAACACACGCTCGCACGCACGCACGCACACACAAGAGCGCGCGCGCACAGCGCCACAGGCCGCACACACACACACTCTCTCTCGCTCTTTCACACTCACACGAACACGCGCGACGTTCACACACCACACACACACACACCACACACAACACACACACACACACACACACACACCACACACACACACACACACACACACACACACACACACACACACACACACACGCTCTCTCTCTCTCTCTCTCTCTCTCTCTCTCTTTCTCTCTTTCTTTCTCTCTTTCTCTTCCCCATCTCCCACATGCTCTATAAGTATACTATCCACAGTCTCACGCATGCTCTGCTCTCCTTCGGTTAGATGGAGGTACGAGAATTGGCTGGGGTGCATGGGACGAATGTGACAACTAACAAACCACAACTAACTATATCTAACTAACTAACTAACTATAACTAACTAACCACAGCCAAACTAACTGACAACTTATTAGAACAATGCGTTTCCTCATCCTTCTTCTTCTTTCACGCGGCAGGAATTGATCCAGAAACTATAGTAGATAATTGAGTGATTGTGCGCCAACCATGCATCGTGTAGACGCACAAATGCAGCGAAGAGTCACAGCAACACCGAAGGTGTTACAGGGGTAGATAATGACTAATTAATTGTCATTATCTACCCTAGTGCTACACATATGCCCGCGCGGAGAAATCATTTATATAGTATCATTTACGTCGACCATTTATATAGAACCTATTTATATAGGGCCATTTATATATAACCATTTATATATAGGAAGATTTATGTACAGCCATTTACGTAGAATGTTAATATAGACCCTTTAACACAGGGCCGTATAATATAATATAGAACCATTCATGTGTAGAGTCATTTATATAGAACCTTATATATAGGGTCATTTATCTAAATCCATTTATGTAGAACGTTTATATAGAACCTTAAATATGTGGTCCTTTATATAGGGGTATAATAATGTCAGTACGGGTCAGTCGTAGATGTAAGCTGTGATGGGAAGAGGGAGTGGTGCTGGTGGTGGTGGAGCACGGGTCAACGCTGTGTAGCGCTGACGGAAGTTGTCGCGAAAGACGGTTTCCTGTGCTTCCATATCAAGCCAGGAACTAGCTGGCCCGCCTGCCCGTCCAGGCTGCGAGACTATAACGTGTCAATACACACACACATACACACGCACGCACGCAGGCGCGCACGCAGGCACCCACGCACACACGAACACACACACACACACACACACACACACACACACACACACACAGGCACGCACACACACACACATACACACGGTGTGGTGAGAGGTTTTTGAAACGCTATATTCTTTTGATTTACGACCGCGATTGTTCGACGTTTGAACAGTTTCTTGGAGCTTATAGCCAACGGTTGGTAATGCGTTGATCTTTTGATTCATCAAGAAATTACTGCACTTATAAATATTAAATACTGACAAATTGTGGCCAGGAACTCGCTCACTATTCCAACGTCAGATTAGAGAAAGAAAGAAAAACAACGATGGTACAGTTTTTAACATATATAAGACGAGGTCTATATACTCTTCAGCTCTTATACATATACTGACAATTAACGCGTGATGCCAGGAACTATAACTATTCCAAGAAAAGGAGGGAATTAAAGAAGAGAAGGAAAAACAATCACGGTACATACCGTTAGTTTGTTTTCCCATTCGACGTTGCAAATAGGAAATGGATTTCTGACCTATTTCGTATTTTTAAAATAAAAATAGAAAATAGGAAATGGGTTTCTGATCCGTTTCCTATTTTAAAAGTCTAAATAGGAAATGGGAAAAGCGTATCTGCGTGTGCGTACGTGTACCTGCGTGTACGTGCGTGTACGACGTGCGTGTACGTGCGTGCACCGTGCGCGTACGTGCGTGTATCTCCGTGTACCCGCCGTGTACGCTGCGTGTACTGCGTTCCTACGTGCGTGTACCCGCGTGCACGTGCGGCACGTGCGTGTACCCGCGTGTACGTGCGTGCATCTGCGTGTACCCGCGTGCACGTGTGTGTATCTGCGTGTGCGTGCGTGTGCACCGGGTACACGCACGCTACACGCACGTACACGCACGCACGCTGGTACACGCAGATACACGCACGTACACGCGGCGTCACGCACGTGCACGCGGTCGCTACACGCACGTACACGCAGTACACGCACGCTACACGCACGTACACGCGGGTACACGCACGTACACACGCGGTCGGGACACACCGTACACACGGCGCACACGCACGTACAACCCTTCCTTTTCCTTTTCCCATTTCCTATTTAGTACTTTAAATAGGAAACGGATCAGAAACCCATTTCCCATTTCCTATTTAGACTTTAAAAATTGGGAACGGATCAGAAACCCATTTCCTATTTTCATTTTAAAAATAGGAAATAGTAGTCAGAAACCCATTTCCTATTTGCAACGCACAATGCTGGAAAACAAACTAACGGTATGTACCGTGATTCAATCCTCTAAGCGCAGTTTTTTACATTTAAGCGCGAGGCGAAGCTATTCATCTCTGAAATACTGACAACTAACTTCGCGGCCAAAAAAAACTCACTATTTCTCAGATCAAGAAGAAGAAGAAAAAATTCTTACGCGCAGTTTTTGACAACCAATGGCGGGAAACGTGCCTTCGTCTTTACCAGCTTTTCTACGCTACACTAAACTACGACATACCTTCTCTTGATGACGACGCACGGCAAACGTAAACAAGCAGCCAACAGCAGAGACCCAGCGTTCGACTAGAGAACGAGAGAGAGAGAGAGAGAGGAGAGCAGAGAGAACCCTGGAGAAAGCAGTGCGCCCTCACCAACATTGACCGGACCACGTACTCACGCTCGTCACGCATAGGCTGTGATTCACCACGAGAGAGACTCCCGTGTACATGCTACTGCTGGTTACCGGAGAGTGAGCGCATCACGGGGTCGCTGCGCCTGACGTGACAGGGATGGGAGGGAGGGGCGGGATAGCGATGAATCACGTAAACAACCTGCTCGTGTGACATAACAGCGATGAGAACCGGATCCAGTGACTATATAGCGAGTGACTACTACTGACTACCTACTGCGGTGAGAGGTTATCTCTGGTTAGGTGCGTGCGTCCGTCTGCCCGTGTGCTAAGATCTCAGATGCTCAACCTACGCCATGGTTACCACGATCTAGCGCGCGGGCGTGGGGTGTGACTGGGGGGGGATTAGGCGATGGGAGAGGGAGATTAAGGATTGGATGTGGCCAACCGGACGCCGGGAGGGGGGTCCTGTTGCTGGGTGTCACCTCCCGCTGCTGCATCCGCTTTGAACACAGGCGGCGTGAGCGCACACAGGCGCACGCACATATTGATTGTTGCACGCGCACGACGCGTGAACGTGAGTGCGTACGTACGACCACAGGCGCGCATACACATTCATGCCGCACACTCACACACACACACACACACACACACACACACACCACACACACACACACACACGCACGCACACACGCACACACGCACGCACACACCGCACACACGCACACGCACACCACGCACACACGCACGCACACACGCACGACACGCACACGCACACCCACGCACACACACGCCACACACACGCACACACACGCACACACAGCACACACACACGCACACACACGCACACACGCACACTCTCTCTCGTCTCTCTCTCTCTCCTCTCTCTCTCTTTCTTCACACACACACACACACACACACACACACACACACACACACACACACACACACACACACACACACACACACACACACACACACACACACACACACACACACAAACACGCATGCACACACTCAAGCATGGACATTCATTTCTACTCGATATATATATATATGGGTGTATATTAATTAGAACATGGACTTTGTTTATTAAGTAGTATTCTTACCGCTACCCCCGTACATCGATTGATACATTGATCTACATTGATACTCAACGACTTCATTTTTATGGAAAAGCAAAGATGCATTTACAGTTGCTTCTAATTTCCCTTTAATAGCAATAATAATCGTAGTGCTTCCACACAGATTCGTTCGTACAGCGTGTTTAATTTGTGCATTACTGACGAAGGGTGGTTATATAGCTGTCGTTATCCGATCTCTATCACTCCATCACAGTTTCTAAGCGATGTGCGTCTATAACAACCTATTTGCGAGCGTTTTCTTATTTCGACCACCAGGGTGAAGTACATGCGTTCTCCTTGACCGTTGAAAATAGCCGCGTGTGGCTGGACTCTATAATAACGTTGGCTGGACAAGCCATCGGTTGCTTGCTCCTGGTGTCGCTGAGAACTAACCGTCTTGTTCTACAGACTGTGGTCATCGGTTGTTTGCTCCTGTTGCCGCCAGGACGTGGCCATCTTGATTCGTGGACGTTCGACATCTCTCCATCTCGACCTAAAGACTATGGACAGCTGTTGCTTGCTTCTGGTACCGATATGAATGAACTAGTAATCTAGATCTACGGATTATCCTCGATCCACGGACCACAGCAACCTGTGGCTCTGCTCCTACTGACTATGGCGACCTGTAGCTTTGCTGCTGCTGCTGTTGCGGCTCTGCTGCTGCTGACTATGGCGACCTGTAGCTTTGCTGCTGCTGCTGCTACTGCTACTGCTTCTGCTGCTGCTGCTGCTGCTGCTGCTGCTGCGCTGCGTGCTGCTGCTGCTGCTGCTGCTGCTGCTGCTGCTGCTATTGCTGCTACTGCTGTTCCTGCTGCTCCTGCTGCTGCTCCTGTTGCTGCTGCTACTGCTACTGCTGCTGCTGCTCTTGTTGCTGCTGCTACTGCTACTGCTGCTGCTGCTCCTGTTGCTGCTGCTACTGCTACTGCTACTACTGCTGCTGCTGCTACTACTGCTACTGCTGCTACTGCTGCTGCTGCTACTGTTGCTGCTCCTCCTGCAGCAGCAGCGGCGGGGTGAGCTAGGAGCTGAACTCGCTCAGCTTGACGAGTCTCTGCTGTCGGCTGGACGTCTCACAGGCCGTGGCGACGCGACACACCATGCGGGTCGTCTCCGACGTCACCGTCATCGTTTCCTGCCCTGCAACGACACGCGCCGGATGCGGTAAGCTCTACCCCGTACCCGTAGGCAGAGGCGCCCGCGGGGAGAGAGGGTGCAGGTGGTAGCACGAAAGGGGGGTGGGGAGAGAGGGTGGATGAAAGGGTGGAGGGAGAGGGTGGTAGGGAGAAGGTGGTGGTGAGCGGGGGAGGGAAAGGGTAATGCGAAGAGGATATGAGGGAGAGGATCTGGTGGATGAGGTGGAAGGAGGGTGTTGTGGGGAGAAGGGCGTAGAGATGGTAGAAGGGGAGAGTGGTGGGGAGAAGGGCGTAGAGATGGTAGAAGGGGAGAGTGGTGGGGAGAAGGGCGTAGAGATGGTAGAAGGGGAGAGTGGTTGGGAGAAGGGCGTAGAGATGGTAGAAGGGGAGAGTGGTTGGGAGAAGGGCGTAGAGATGGTAGAAGGGGAGAGTGGTGGGGAAAAAGGGTGGTAAAGGAGGTGCAATGGAAAGAAGGGGATTGATGTGCAGGGGTATAAGGTGGCAGGGAGAGGGAGGTGATGAGAAACGTTAGAGGGAGAGGGTGGTGAGGAGAAGCGGTGAGGGAGATGGTGGTTGGAAGAAGGGTTACTGGGGCACGAAGGGTCGTTGTCGTATCAGGTACTACATATATGTACCCGAGGTAGTTTTAGATTGTTTAGTATTATGTTTATATTTTTATATGAGGTAGGGTTAGGGTTAGGGTTAGGGTTAGGGTACACTTCTGTAGTACAAGTCTGGTACACTTTGTGTATACATATATGTACTTCGGGTACATATATGTAGTATCTGATACGACAACGACCCCTTCAGCGTTACTTGCGAAAGGGCGGTGCGGAAAGATACGAACCTGCCAGCACTCTCAAGAAATGCTCCAACTCCACTTTGTAGGCAGTCTCGTATCGCTGAAGGAACGTGTACTGGAAAGGTGCGCTCAGCGTCCCCTGGCGGTCTGATATAGAACAGGACGTCGGACGTTGGTTGTCGGCCACCATCATGCCGTCCGTACCGAACACCTGACGGGAGATGGGGGACAGGAGGCGCTCGTTGTCATAAACACAATTAGTCCTAACACTAGTCTTTATATTATAACGTACAAGGGCCCGTCTTAATATTAGTCTTGATATTAAGTTTTTTCTCACACATTGTTGACAGAAGCACGGTAAAGTTACGAGCTTCACGCGCGCAGTGTATGTAGGTCCCGTCTGCGAGAAAAAGTTGATGTTGTGACATTTCACATTTACATTTCACGTTTTACATTTTACATTCACGTTTCACATTCACATTTTACATTCGAAACCGAATCACGCGACCCAATCCATAGACTGTCGCCCGCCGCACCTCGACTCGCTGGTCGTAGCCGTACACGCCGTGGCGGGACAAGTCTATGACGGCGATCACGCCGCTAGGGAACTTCATCGTAATGGCGACGGTGTCGCTGTCGTCAAGCTCGGCGATGCTCGCCAGGTGCGTGTGGGCGACGGCGACGACCGACTCCGGCCACTCTCCGAGCATCCAGCAGACGATGTCGATGTCGTGTACGGCGCAGTCGTGGAATATGCCGCCTGTTGTTTGTTGCGAGAGTCGTTATGTGTGTGTGTGTGTGTGTGTGTGTGTGTGTGTGTGTGTGTGTGTGTGTGTGTGTGTGTGTGTTACTATCTGACTAACAAAATCTCCACCGTTTTCGTATCGAAGCAGTAAGCGTAACGGAATTGTATAAATGGTTATCGTCACTTATTTTAACCGGGACTAAATGTATCCTCAAATTCTTACCTGATAAGATTGTTTCTCAACCAAAAAAACCATCCAAAAAAACCTGGACGATTTGATATATTGACCACGACATTAAATACTATCTATGGACTATGTATAAGGCACGAGTGTTTGTTCATATCGAACGGAATAGCAAAATATGAAGGATAATGCAGCAATTTAACCATAAAAAGTCAACAGAATCACTTACATTTTGAGAAAAAGTGAACATAATTTTTTTACTTTTACTATTTACAGTGACGTATTCACTTTTACAGTCGCACAGTCTATCGTGTCAATTGTCATATATTTTAACTGCTTGTTTTTTTACCCGAAGTCCGTAGAAAGTCGATTGGGGGGAGCGGGTTGTCCCGACTGCAGCTTTTGACGACGTGAACTGTACCGACTCTGCCCTCGCCCACCGCCTTCTTTACGTCGACGAAGGAAGGGTCGAATCTTCGCTGGAAGGCGCAGAAGAGATGAAGACCGCGTCGCTTGGCTAGCTCGTACAGTTCGTCTATGCCCGCCAGGCTGCCCGCCAGCGGCTTTTCGCAAAACACGGCCTTATCTGCATGGTAGATGTGGAAAAATGATTGTAACTGTAGCAGGAAGCGGTGTATATGGATGATATGATAACTATATACACGTGAGTGTACTCGTACACTCGTCTTATACACAGGCACTTGGAGCGTTTCA